TTCAAAGCTCGTCCTGCCAGCCCCAGAAAAACTCATTTTGCGCAGGATCCCCTGGGAAATCCCCTTGGAAAATAATAAACGACACAAAAAAACCCCCTTAGATCCGAGGAGGATTTGATGCTGGAATGATCCCAGGGCATCATTACCCTCCGACGAGGCTCTGGTGGCACCAACCACCCCGAGAGGCCTCCCTGCAGCCAAGGCTCTTCCCCGCCCAGAGCTTTTCCATGGAAGTCTCGGGAGCACAATGTGGGTCCGAGCCCTGCTGGCTGTGGAGGAGTTTCCTCCTTTACAGTAAAAGAGCATTTAAAAGTTTCCTGTCACTCCCGGGGGGGTGGAGGGTCCCCGCAATCTACGGGTGGGTTCATTGTTTGATTCCACCTTTTCCGGCCTCCGGCTGGAACAGGAACCCTCGGAGCTCCGCGGCCCTCCTGGGCCTCCGTGCCCACAGATTCCAGGGGTTTCCGTGTCCCTTTATCCCCCATTCCAACACCGCATGGAGATGGGGGTGCTCCCGCTGCCACGGCTCCGGGAGCCAGCACTCCTCCGTGTCCTGCATATTCCAGCAGGGATCTGTGCCAGCTGCACGATTAACTACGGTCCTTAATGCAGAAAATGCACCTGCTTTCCCATGTGTGCCGAGCCCATTCCCAGGAATATCATATACGTGTTTATCTGTGTTCCCACCCCAGCAGTCAGGCCCCTCCCACGCACAAACGGGGTCATTCAGCCAGCTCCAGCTCCCAAAAAATCTTCCCAGTGCCGTGACTTGGAGAGTGAGATGGGGACAACTGAGACCAAAGTCCTTTTGCTCCATCACTTGGTGGCCCAGGCTGGGATAAGTCTGATGAGGAGCAGCTGAGGGAGCTGGGAATGCTGGAGAAAAGGAGGCACAGGGGGGACCTTCTCGCTCCCAAAAACTTCCTGACAGGAAGATGGAACCAGGCAAGAGTCAGGCTCTGCTCCCAGGGAACAAGGGACAGGATGAGGGGAAAGGCCTCAAATTGTGCCAGGGGAGGTTTAGGTTGGGTATTGGGAAAAATTCTCCCCAAAAGGGTTGTCCAGCCCTGGAGGGATGTGAAAACCGTGTGGATGTGGCACATGGGGACACGGGTTAGTGGTGGCCTTGGCAGTGCTGGATTAACATTGGACTCGATCTTAGAGGGCTTTCCCAAGCTAAATGATCCATTATTCCATGGTTCTTTGATTCTATTACTCTGTAATTCCATGATTACATGATTCTGTGATTTGCTGATTCCATGACC